ATCTCACTGCTTCTGAATTTTCTCTCAGGATTCTAACCAAGAAAATGCTACTAGATAATTCTTCAGTTCTGCACTGTCACTTTACCCAGAAAAGACTGGGGTACCCTTGCTTATTTTACCCCTGAAGTAATGCCTCTGGTACTTTGGAGCCCACAGCAACATAGAAGAAAGCCAGAGCAGTTCTCCAGAAATAGTAAGAAAATTGATTGCAATTTTACTGCAATTAGATTTTCTCTTATGAAGACTTGTTTATTGGAATCTACATTGAGAAATACTTGGATCAAGGAAGTTTATTAGATGCTTATATATCTTATCCACCGGAAGGAACAAAACTGTTTCTCTGATGTAGAGAACAGGAGAAAGAATTCCTACTCATGGATTACTTTATAGATTTTTTTTCTTGCTTTAATTTATTTCAGGATTGTTCCCCCGCAGTCTTGAATGAAATGACTTTTACAATATGTTTTAATTCTTTAATCTTCAAGTTTTGCTCATAGAATTCATTCGTGGGTTTAACCTATCTTGGAATCTGGGCAGCTACCCTAACCAATGGTATATAGGGAATTGGGGGTTGCAGATTATTTGAACCAAAACACGATTCACTGTTAACTTTTTTTCCTTTCTTCTATAATGAAACTGTAGTAACAATGCCAGCATAACCAAGTTTGTTCTTATGTGACTTGTCATGGTTGATTGTGTTCACTACATAATGGTTTGCTATGACTTGATTAATATACAATATTATATATATTATATATATAATATGGAACTTAATTCTGTGTTTCAGCACCAGGTTTTAATAGAGTCCTTGGCTGCTTTTGACACCTTCAAGTTGAAGTGAACTTTTGATGATATTAGATTTGTGCAAAGCAGAGATGCTTCTGTTCACTTTTTGCTTTTGCTTTTGAAATTAATATTGACTTATTTAATATCTTCTTAAAAAAGTTTGCATCCTTCAACAATGAAATTTTTGCTGTGATTGAGCCAGAATAGAATACTTTGCTTAAATTAGTGTCTTGGTTTTGGGATGTACTTCTGTCGTTTAACAACAGGGATACGTTCTGAGAGATGCATCATTAGGTGATTTCATTGTTGTGTGAAATGGTAGAGTCTCCTTACACAATTCGAGATGGTGTAGCCTAGGCCGAGTGGTACTAATCTTGTGGGAACACCGTCATATATGTGGTGAGTCGTTGACGGAAATGTCATCATGCGGCATGTGGCTGTACATTGATTAAGACTCTTAAGTCTCCTCTTTTGGAAAAACTGGTTGGGTAACTTTTATCACAAGGCTCGTAGTGTATAATTTGGTGCATCATTGAAGAGAAGAGGATCCATAGAAACTTTAACGTTGTGTGAAATCATAAATTGTTAGTAAATTCTTTGTTTCATAGCACTTCAAAATGGAGTTTGAGTTTTCATTGTGAACATTTAACTAGACCCGAATATTTTGCAGATTTGTTTTTTTCTTAGTTAATGGGACAGGGAAGAGTTCACTGTCTAAACCTTTAGACGCTGGAGAGCTAAACTCACAGAGAGTAACTAACTTAAATACAACTTTAAAGAATGGATATGTAGTAGACACGCTGTGATGTTGGATGATCTTTCTGTATGAGGAGAAAAGGCCCGTAGGGCACTATTGTGTCTTATTTACAAATATCCTTAAAAACAGGACTTAGAAGGGTCCCTATTTCTGTTTTCTTCTGATCTTGTCCCTCCACGAACCTAACAATTAGAAAGAATTAACTCACTGTCTAATGTGTTTTTATAAGGATATCTGGCTCCAGATCTTCTGAGGATTTATGTTCAACTTTTATTAAGAGCAGCAGTGTGTTTTCTAACAAGTTTTAGAATCCTGTCATTTGTACCAAACAGATCTGTGTCTAGATGATGATGATGACACCTGATGTTAATTACCTGTGTCCCACGTGCCGTGTGCTAAATATGCTTCCTGTGCGTTATCTTACTTAATCCTCTTGGGAAACTGAAGTAAGCGCCATTGTAATGGCAGTTTACCTGTGAGGAAGCCAGGGCTTGGGGAGGTTAACTAACTTATCCAAGCAGAGCAGGGTTAGAGTAGATGGGTTTATTGTCCTTTGGATCCTGTTTTGCTTGAACTTACTGTCTCTGAAAGCCAAAAATAAAATCATTGTCTTTCTTGGTGCAGACTCAACTTCCTCCTGCTCATCCAGTTGCTGAAGGCACCCATTTAAGCACAGTGGGAAGTGCAGACTAGTTCAAGGTACTCTGACCAATGCACATGAGTAGAAAAATGGCCAAAGCTCAGTGCTAGCCTGGATAACCACCTGTGTGTGTGACTTGATAACATGTAGTAGAACACATCCCATCATTTGCATTGGTATATATTCTATGCTGTTGTAATCTGGGCGCCATCCTTGATCTCTCCTTTGCTCATATTTCAGTCCATCTGCAAGTCCTGAAGGTTCTATCTGCAGAACACATCCCTCATTTATCCATCTGTTAGAGCTGTGATGGAGCCCTGGTCTTCTTGCCTGAGCTATACCAGTAACCTGATTTCTCCCAGCCTCTACTATTGTCCACCTGTAATCTCCTCAGAGGGTGGAGTAGCCAGAGTGACCTGTTTTAAAGCCTAAGGGAGATCATGTTGCTTTCCTGCCTGAACTCCTTCAGTAGCTTTTCGTTGTAATTTAGGGAGTCAGCTTCCTTCCATCTGCCTTTGCTTGTGGTGCTTCAGATGTTGATGTTTTTCATACTTAACCAAGTTCATTTCCGTCTTGGGTCTTTGTATCTGCTCTTCGCTCTACCTGGGCTGCTCGGGTCGTTGATCATCTTGTGGCTTACTCTCTATCATTTAGGCCTCAGTTCAGATGCAAGCATCTCAGTGCAGCCCCCCTTGGCTAATGTGGATGCCCCCACCCCAACACTCTCTCATGTTACTGTCTTTATTTTCTTTATAGTTCTCCTCATTGTTATGTTAATTTAATTTAAATTATTGCTTGCTTCTTAGCTATTTCTGCCCCAACTAGAAGGTGAACTTCTTGAGAGCAGGGCCTCCCCTTGTACCTGGAAAAGTGTGCCTGGCACATAGTAGCACAATTAAAGGTTTGCTGAATGAATGAAAATTTTCCTGTCACTTGCTTATTACATTACATTGTGAACAGTTCCCCACAATCTTAAATATTCAGAACAGGGGTGATGAACTCTTGATCCACAGTCCAGATCTGCCCTAAAGACACATTTATTTGGCTTATTAAAAAGTGTAGTTGTTTGAGGTATAACTCACATCCAGTCAGGTGCACAGATGCTTGATGAATTGCTCTAATGTGTGTACCCACATAAACCCCTCTCAGATCAAGATGTGGAGGGCTTTCATATTCCCCCCCCCCTTCCCACACGAGAACTTGCACAGTTAATCTTTTTCATTTTAACCTTTAAAAATTGGAGATTTCACATAAAAATCTAGAATTCCAACATCTCTTAAAAAATGGAAAGATGCAGCAACAAAGGACCCACTTTCTCCTTCGGTCACGATGTATCATAGCTGAGAAGCAACTGTCCAGAGTGTTGGCTTGTGTTCTCCAGTTTGCCTCCAGTCTTCACCTCTCCTCCTTCTATCCCTGACCTTGAAATTGGCTTCCACTTGCCATTTATAATTTCATTTGAATTAGTTTTTTTTTATGATGGAGAAATGTTTATTTCTTCCACTATGTCTGTAAAAAAGTGGAAATGTGGATGGCAGACCGAAAAGGCTGTTTCTTTTTTTTTTTTTTTTTTGAGGAAGATTAGCCCTGAGCTAACTACTGCCAGTCCTCCTCTTTTTTTCTGAGGAAGCCTGGCCCTGAGCTAACATCCATGCCCATCTTCCTCTACTTTATATGTGGGATGCCTACCACAGCATGGCGTGCCAAGCGGTGCCATGTCCGCACCCAGGATCCGAACTGGCGAACCCTGGGCCGCCGAGAAGCGGAACGTGTGAACTTAACTGCTGCGTCACCAGGCCGGCCCCGCTGTGTGTTTCTTATACTTAATCCGTTTCATTCATATGTATTTCTGGCCTTTTATGTGTTTGTTAGCCGTCGTAATTCTACATGGCTGTGTTTAAAGGTTGCACAATGTTGTATAAATGTGTCATTTAACCAATCTCTTATTGTGGAACTTAGAAGTTATTTCCAGTTTTTTGATATTGTAAATGAATATTTTAGATGAATATTTGTACAAATCATTATTTTATTAGGGTAAAATTTTAGAAATGGAATTTCTGAATTAAAATATTTTCATTTTTAAGACTTTTGATACATACTGCCAAATTGCTTGGTAGTAATATATGTTGATGTGCTCTTTCTGGAGAGGGGTGTATGGGAGTATTTGTGTTCCTATGTCTGTGCCAACGCTGGGAATTGTAACTAAAAGGAAAGGTTTTGGGGGCTTGGGGAGGAAGTGAAAGGGGTAAAGGGAGAACATTTGTTCAGTGACAGATGGAAACTAGACTATTGGTGGTGAACACGATGTCATCTATACAGAAGTCAAAATATGTCCACCTGAAATTTATATATTGTTATAAACCAATGTTACCTCAATAGAAAAATTTTTAAAAGTTTGCTAGTAATATTTAGTAAAAACAAAAAATAGGAAGGCTGGCCAAGAAGTTTTTCATCTTTTCACCTACGTAAATAAAAATTGTTCTTTATTTTAGAGGATATGGTATAGAAATGTTTGTTACTTAGTACAGCGCTATACCTTGGATTTATCTTGTGAGTCAAATCATGCACCACATACTTTGTATATGAAGTAATGTGAATACCTCAGTAGAATTTGAGAAGCCTTTAGCCTTGATCGTTATACACACACACACGCACAATTATTATTGAGCTCTACCATGTTCTATATGGAAGTGCACGGGAGTAAATGCAAAATTCTTCTGTTTTGAAGGACGTACACCTAACTCTTATACATTGGTTTTGTGTGTGCTTTCATATTTTTAATTAGATGCTATTATTCTGTGTTTGCTGTTTAATTAGATGCCTACGTAGAAGAGTGGCAGCAGCTGGACTCAGTGTTCCCCTGCTGAACTGGCCCTCAGGTATCCTGGCTCTGGCGAGTGCTATGGGAGATTGGATGACTGTTACAGATCCAGGTCTGTCTTCAGGTAACTGAGTCTCAAATAATGATAAACTAAGGCAGTAATTGTAAAGGTGGGTTTTTCAGTGAAACTATAATTACCATAAATATTGAAGATGTGACTAGAGAAAGACATAAATACTTGCAAAATATCTAATTTTCCTCTTCAGAAAAATCATCAGGGAGAGCTAAGTATTGTGCCGTGATTTGTGGGGTTAAATGCTTTAGATGGGTAATAGGTTACTTGATATTATTTTTGAGGGAAGTTTTCATGCATTTGAAATAAATTCATTGGCTACTTCAAAACATTTCTCTGACTTACTCCTTGAATCGCATAAACGTTGAGTGGCATAGACAAGTGGTTTTTGTTATTTTTATAAATCTGATGCACTGAGAATAGGGTAGTGTAGTGTCGCTTAACATGCTTACTAAGAGCACCACTGTATAGTTGTATCATTTTGGAAAAAAGTATATGGTTTTCATACAAAGAATAGGTTTGTCCTAATTTGGAAATATTTTAAAATATTTCTATCATTTAAAATCTTTGGTAATGGAGATTGTTTGCTTTGTATGCATTTTTATAAATTATTTACATAAATGCCTTTTATTGATTCTTTCAGAAAGCAAAAATATCTCTCAAAATACCTCAGAAACAAAGATGTCTCCATCAAGTTTATACTCACAGCAAGTGCTATGTTCTTCAATACCTTTATCAAAAAATGTGCACAGTTTTTTCAGTGCCTTCTGCACAGAACAGAATATTGAACAAAGTATTTCATATCTGGATCAGGTAACGTGTTTTTTTTTGTGAGAAGCAATAGCATAAATCATGTTATATAGTAGAAAATATCAAAGTTATGAGAAAAACACTTGTCAAGCACTGGTATGTTGTTACATAATGGTCCGGGAATCATCACATTAGCTTTGCAGAGAAGCTTGATGATCATCTAGGCCAGATACAAGATAAGTGTTGTCTGGAGCAGGTTAGCCTCCCCGTCACCCAGGGCTCCTCCGCTGGGAGTCTCACCCTGTTTTACTGATGTAGAAACCTAAGTGCCCTGCTTCAGGTCATGTGGTTGCAGAGCAGAGGCTGCTAGAGCCCAGTTCTCTCAATTCTTTGTCCTTTGGGATATTTACGATTTTCTTAACTATCTCAGGATAGTTTCTTTCTCAGAAAAGATTTCTGTCTTTTGTGTCTTTACGAAGATGTCTGGTAACCAACTTTTAGGAAAACATTTTCTCTTACCAGGAATTGACTACTTTCGGGTTTCCTTCATTATATGAAGAATCCAAAGGTAAAGAGACAAAGAGAGAATTAAATATAGTTGCTGTTTTAAATTGTATGAATGAGCTACTTATACTTCAGCGGAAGAACCTTCTAGCTCAGGAAAATGTGGAAACACAGAATCTGAAACTGGGAAGTGATATGGACCATCTGCAGAGCTGCTATGCAAAACTTAAGGTAGAAATTCTTGTCCATCTGTGTTTCAATGCCGTTATGTGATTTGATATGCCAATTTTCACTGGCCTTGTCAAACAACTTTTAGGGTTAATGTTTTTAAGTTTTGGGGGGTTTTTTAAACTGGTAAGTAAAAGTGAACTCTAAGTAGTTTGTGCGTATCAATCCTGCGGCTTCGTAAGATCTATACTGAAGGCATTGATTTTATCAACTGTTTAGTGACTTGCCCAATCTGTAGAAAGATTAGGACGTATTTATATCTGAGGAAAATAAAGTTTCCCCCATTCCATCCAATCTTGCTTAATAAAGTAGATGCTTAATTTAAAATAGTTTTATTGTGAGAGGCTGTGTCAGTTAATTCCAAGAAGAATATTCTTTTTTTTTAAGTGAGTTCGTAATAGTTTACATCATTGTGAGATTTCAGTTGTACATTATTTCTTGACTGTCACCACATAAGTGCTCCCCTTCACCCCCTGTGCCCACCCCTATCCCCCTTCCCCTGGTAACCACTGAACTGTTTTCTTTGTTCCAGTACTTGTTTATATTCCACATATGAGTGAAATCCTCTGGTCTTTCTCAGACTGGCTTGTTTTGCTTAGCATAATTCTCTCCAGGTCCATCCAGGTTGTTGCAAATGGGATGATTTTGTCTTTTTTCGTGGCTGAGTAGTATTCATTGTATATACATACCACATCTTCTTTATCCAATCATCAGTCGATGGACACTTGGGTTGCTTCCTTGTCTTGGCTATTGTGAATAGTGCTGCAGTGAACATAGGGGTGCATATGTTACTTTGGCTTCTTGATTTCAAATTGTTTGGGTAGGTACCCAGTAGTGAGATAGCTCGGTCATATAAAAGTTCTATTTTTAGTTTTTTGAGGAATCTCCATACTGTTTTCCATAGCGGCTGTACCAGTTTGCATTCCCACCAGCAGTGTATGAGGGTTCCCTGCTCTCCACACCCTCTCCAACATTTGTTATTTTTAGTCTTAGTGATTAGAGCCATTTTAACAGGCATAAGGTGGTATCTTAGAGTAGTTTTGATGTGTATTTTGAACATCTTTTCATGTGTTTATTGGCCATCTCTATATCCTCTTTGGAAAAACGTCTGTTCATATCCTCTGCCCACTTTTTGATGGGGTTGTTTGCTTTCTTATTGTTCAGTTGTGTGAGTTCCTTATATATTATGGAGATTAACCCCTTGTCAGATAAATTATTTGCAAATATTTTCTCCCACTTGGTGGGTTGTCTCTTTGTTTTGATCCTAGTTTCTTTCACCTTGCAGAAGGTCTTTAGTCTGATGAATTCCAACTTGTTTATTTTGTCTTTTGTTTCCCTTGTCTGAGAGGCCATGGTATTTGAAAAGATCCTTTTTAGTTCGATGTCAAAGAGTGTACTACCTATATTATCTTCCAGGAGTTTTATAGTTTCAGGACGTATCTTCAAATCTTTGATCCATTTTGAGTTTGTTTTTGTGTATGGCGTGAGATAGTGGTCTACCTTCATTCTTTTGCAAGTGGATGTCCAGTTTTCCCAACACCATTTATTGAAGAGACTATCTTTTCTCCATTGTATGTTCTTGGCACCTTTGTCGAAGATTAGCTGTCCATAGATGTGTGGTTTTATTTCTGGGCTTTCAGTTCTGTTCCACTGATCTGTGTGCCTGTTTTTGTACCAGTACCATGCCATTTTGATCACTATGGCTTCATAGTACATTTTGAAGTCAGGGGTTGTGAAACGTCCAGCTTTGTTCTTTTTTCTCAGGATTGCCTTAGCAATTTGGGGTCTTTGATTGCCCCATGTGAATTTTAGTATTCTTTGCTCTATTTCCGTGAAGAATGTCATTGGGATTCTGATAGGGATAGCATTGAATCTGTAGATTGCTTTGTGTAGTATGGACATTTTAAATGTGTTTATTCTTCCAATCCATGAGCAAGGAATCTCTTTCCATCTCTTTAAGTCATTATTAATTTCTTGCAGTAATGCCTTATAGTTTTCATTGTTTAAGTCCTTCACCTCCTTGGTTAAATTTATTCCTAGGTACTGTATTCTTTTAGTTGTGATTGTAAATGCGATTGTATTCTTGAGTTCTCTTCCTGTAAGTTTGTTATTAGAGTATAAAAAAGCAACTGATTTTTCTAAGTTGATTCTGTACCCTGAAACTTTACTGTAGTTGTTAATTGTTTCTATTGGTTTTCCGATGGATTTTCGGGGTTTTCTATATAAGATCATGTCATCTGCAAACAGCCAAGAAGAATATTCTTGAGGGCATCTGTGCCAGAGTTGCTGAAGCTCAGTAATGAAAGCAGGACAGATAACTTGTGACTCGTGGAGGTCCCTGGGGCTCCAGAGAAGACCGTCGAGGAATGCTTTCATGAACTTGCTTGTTTCTCTGAACAAAGGAAATATTTTTCACAGCCCATTGATCTGCTGCCTTAAATGATAGAACATCTGTTGCTGGCTTCTGCTTTGCTTTCATTCTTTGTTTTCCTTTTTAAAAAAATTTTTTTTTACTCATTTGAGAAGGAGAGGGAAGAAGGTGTTCAAAACGGTGGTACAGTAGGGACTTATGATTGTATGTTATGAATAATATCATCAAGACAAAAGCGTATTATCCACGCTGGGTTGCCTTATCTACGAAAATAGCCTTTGAATCAGCATACTCTCAGGAGATGAACTTCCTGTTAGTTTTTCACCTGTTGGTCCATGCCTCTCCACTTATTTTTCTTCCTTGTTATCCTCTCCCACCAGCTCCCTCCAAGAACAGGTAACAACAATATAAAAAAACAAAAAAACCCCGCTCAGCATCTCGAATCTTTGAACTCTATTGCATAATAGATCTCTCAGTGTAATATTTTAAAATCTTCTTATGGGAAGTCGACAGCAAAGAAGTGGCCTAGAGGCGGCCTGTATGTGAACACTGGGAACATTTGGGGGTTGGTTGAGGGGCATCTTAGCTCCTCAGCACATCTGCCCACCAGATGTGCCACGTGTCATTGCCTAATGCTATTTTATGTTGTCTTCTGAGCTCATCGACAATGATAACAGTAGGTTTATCTTTAGTAGTATTTTTAAGTTTTTGTACATCCTGTATGTTTAAGAGGTAGAGCTTATCCGACTGTGTATCTTGGCTGACGGGGGAACTGTGGTGAGCTAGAGGGGATAGTTGGTACCCTCTAGGCTTATAAAAAGACTGAGTTGTGGATAATACTTTAATCTTAATCAGAGAGACTTATGGAAGGTCTTATGAATTAGACTGACCCAGAGTTGTAAACCCTAAAAGGCAATAATTCTGCATTAAAACTTTTTACATCTGTGAACCCTTGGCCAAGTTCTCATAAGTAGCTGGTGAATAATTAGATAGTGATCTTGCTAATCTGGGCTGCTGAGCCTCTCCTCTACGGAGTGATTGCTTATTAGGACTGCCCAGAGAATAAAGTATTTTCCAGAATATCTTCTAATTTGGGGTTTGATCTGGATCAAAGTCACGTATTTTTCTGTGGACAGAAATGTGTGTTTAATGGGGAAAGTTGCTGATCTATCCCTGAAGAGTTTCTAGAACTAGCATATGATTCATTCAATTTGTTGAGCAAAATTTATTGAGTATTTATGTGCTAGGCGCTGGGTTTCTTTAATGGAAGCAAAATCACTCTTTTTGGTGAGGAAGATTGGCTCTGCACTAACATCCATTGCCAATCTTCCTCTTTTTTTTTTTTCTCCCTCCCCAAAGCCCCAGTACGTAGTTGTATATCCTAGTTGTAGGTCATTCTAGTTCTGAGACACCACCACAGCATGGCCTGATGAGCAGTGTGTAGGTCTGTGCCCAGGATCTGAACCGGCGAACCCCAGGCCACTGAAGCGGAGCGCATGAACTTAACCACTCAGCCACGGGGCCAGCCCTGGCACTGGGTTTCAAAGATGAATGAAACCCAGTCCCTGCTTGCAAGGAGACTGTAGTCCAGTGGAAGGAGGCACAGTGAACCATGATTATTTACTTTGTTAATTGTTCTTGGTGTGGTCAGGGAAAGCTTCACAGAGAGGTAACACTTGATCTGAGATTTGAGGAATGAGTAGAAATTTGCCAATGTTTGGAAAAGACATTGTAAGCAGAGCGTGTAACCTGTATAAAAGCATGGAGGTATGAGAGAGCATTTACTTTCAGGTGACAGCAAATAGCTCCATAGGGGTGAGGTATATGGTATATGATGAAGAGTGGTAAGAGGTGAGGCTGGGACCCAGGCTTCAGATGATGTGAAAGGCATTGTACAGAAACCCGGAGGCCCCGAGGAATGTAAACAGGAGGAAGGCATGATGTAAATATCGCTCCAGCAGTGGGGTGGGGAAGTCTTAGGGGCAGGTGCAGATTTGTATTTGGGATGAAGGTAGGGGGCTCAGAACGCTGGTGGACAGAACAGCTGTCAGCAGGCCTTAGCAGTTGCCCAGGCCAGAGAGGTTTTGGACTTGAACTAAAGTAGTGCCAGTGGAGATAGTAAGAGTGAGATGTGAAAAAAAACTTAAGACGTAGAATGAGTAGAATTTTATGAAAAGTTGAATTTGGAGAATGAGAAAGTCATTAATTTAAGATACTGTCTGAGTCTATGTCTTGAGTTTACTGAGGCTGATGGTATGATTCACTGAGATAAATGCAGGAAGGGAGTGTTGAGGTTTGCAGGGATGATGATGAGGTCGAGTGACGCGTTGATAATCACTTGGAGGGAATCTCTGATTTGACATGTGGGGCATATCAGCTGGCTGAGTGCCTTTTAAGTGTAGCCATGCCAGGCGCCGGCCCCATGGCCGAGTGGTTCAGTTCACGTGCTCCACTCTGGCAGCCCAGGGTTTTGCTGGTTCGAATCCTGGGCATGGATATGGTACCACTCATCAGGCCACGCTGAGGTGGTGTCCCACATGCCACAACTAGAAGGAACCACAACTAAAAAAATACGCAACAATGCATGGGGGGGCTTTGGGAGAAAAATGAAAAATAAAATCTTTTAAAAAAAAAAAACAACTTAGCCATGCCAAATGGTCTGGCACGATAGGAAGTTTTAAACACTCCAAAGAAGAGGGTGGCAAAAATTCTGACAACCTTAGAGTTGTCCAAGTTATAGGCCTAAATTTTCTGTATCGTTTTGAGATCCATTGTTACAGAGATTGCGTAAGTTGTTGTTTGTGGTCAGTTATGACATAACTTGAGTGACTTTTATATTTTATAAAGATAAGAGGATTTAAAAAATATTTCAGTGGCCTCAAGCAGAGCTTGGGACAGTTCCTAAGGGAATGTGTGGAAGGAATTAGAAGTGAGCATTTTATCCCACACCAATCCCAGGGGTGCTCCCATTCCTCTCTAGGAAAAGTCTTCAGAGAATTGACTGCCTGCAAAGGAGAACTGGCATTGGGCTATCACCTCGCTCTTTTTCCCGTGAAGGGTTGCCACTTTGCTTGGTTAGCCATCTTCAGACTTAGCTCCGAGTCACTCTTGGCTGTTTCTCAAAGAGTGTGCTATAGAATTGTTAAAAAATATTTTAAAAGGGCCAGCCCTGCGGCCTAGTGGTTAAGTTTGGTGCACTCCCTGTGGTGGCCCAGGTTTGCAGGTTTGGATCTTAGGCACAGACCTACACCGCTCATCAACCACACTGTGGCAGTGACCCACATATAAAGTGGAGGCAGATTGGCACAGATGTTAGCTCAGGGCTAATCTTCCTCAGCAAAAAAAATAAAAAAAATTTAAATGTCCAAGGGCAGCATCACTGGGATAAGTCAAGTGCCTTTCAAAGGATCCGCTTTGAAGCTCTTTTGTATATACATTAAAAAATTTGGTATTTAAATTTAAGTAGGGGCTGGCCTGGTGTCATTGTGGTTAGGTTCATGTGCTCCACTTCAGCAGCCCAGAATTTGCTGGTTTGGATCCTGAGCACAGACCTATACACTGCTCATCAAGCCATACTGTGGCGGCATCCAACATAGAAGAACTAGGACTTACAACTAGGATATACAACTATGTACTGGGGGGCTTTGGGGAGAAAATAAAATTTAAGTAAATTTTGTAACTTTATAGTACTGAGCTTTATAATAGTTGCTTTAAATAAACATTTTGTGTGATATTAAACCTCAGTTTTAGCTAACAAACCCTAGTATGTGTGAATTGTTTTTACTAACCTTTAAAGAATCCAGTTGCTCTGAATCCTATGTTAATTTTAATCAAAATTGCATGTGAATGTTTTAGGAACAACTGGAAACCTCCAGGAGAGAAATGATTGGGCTTCAGGAAAGAGACAGACAGTTACAATGCAAGAACCGGAATTTGCATCAGCTACTGAAAAATGAAAAAGATGAGGTGAGTTGTCAGTTGTTGCAGATAAAGTTTAAGTGAATTTGTTTGTTTGTAATTCGAGGTGACCATAAGAGCCTCTTCAAAATAAGAAAGAACTGAGGCCGGCCCAGTGGTGCAGCAGTTAAGTTCGCACGTTATGCTTTGGCAGCCTGGGCTTTGCCGGTTCGGATCTTGGGTACGGACCTACGCACCACTTATCAAGTCATGCTGTGGCAGGTGTCCCATATATAAAGTGGAGGAAGATGGGCACAGATTATAGCTCAGGGCCAGTCTTCCTCAGCAAAAAGAGGAGGATTGGCTGCAGATGTTAGCTCAGGGCTAATCTTCCTCAAAAAAAAGGAACCATTTATTCATCCTGTGTCAAATTGGTATGATGGACCTCTGTGTACAGTACTGTATCTATTTAACTGAGAGGTCAAGAACTCTGGCCTCCCTCTGCCCCGAGTGGACCCATTTCGCTTAGTATATTAGTCCATAGCTTGTGACAAGCAGTGTTCTTTACTGTCCATCCTAGACTAACATGCATTGTCACTTTTTCTCAGCCACAAGGGTGCCTTAAATGCAGATCTTTCATTCTCTGCCGTACTTAATATCTGGCCTGCCTCCTCTTGCACTATGTTAAATATTGACATTGTTCATCCAGTCAATTAATTACTCGATTAAATGGCACAAGAGCTATTGTTAAAAAAAAAAAAAAAGCAATTGACATTAAAAATCTCATTTCTAAGGCTAAAGACCTTATAATTATAATCACATTTCTGCTTTAGTGGTTACTTAATATTGACACCTATGGAGTTAATGCATTTGAAATTATTATTTCTAAATTTATGTAAGAAGAAACCATTATGTCATTATTACTCTGCAGTTTGCTCCCTGACCATGTGATAACTGTAAAAATACAATACTTATTTTCAGTGTTGTGTATGTTGTTTTAACTATAATTCAAGACTTTTAGGGGAGCGTATTTCTTTCAGGACCTTATCGTGGTTTAGACAGATTTGTTTTACCATATTTATTCAGTCATATATTTAGTAAGTGGGTAATGAAGTCTTAACTAAACTGCAAGGTTGCTTATACATTTCCTTGAGTTATTTCACAGAAAATTTTGACTTGATTTGTTGATTACACATAAATGGTTTGAATATAGTTCATCTTTAGTAAGGATTTGGTTAAACATGATCATCTCCAGCAGAGAGTAAGGTTGTCTGTATGAAGAGAACGTACTTCCTGTGAGGGGCTGCTGGGAAGCCATGGTGGGTACAACACTGAGCGGTAGTGCCAGGCGTGCACTCAGCATGTGTGCGAACCCCCTTCTCTCGGCTGTTTGGACTTACTCTAATTTGAGAACTGGGCTTACTGTAGTTTGAGAACTGTTTACGATCAGAGAAAAACGAACCTGTTTACCTGCTGCCGTATGCCGTGGCTGATTTGCCTTGTCACAGATTGATAAGGAATGGAGTGATTCAAGTCAGGAGTATCAGGCAGTCACTCCCAATGACCTGACGAATTCTGCTTGTCTCAAATGGTGCTTTAATCACTTGAATACTTCCGTAAGAGTTTCTGGTTTCTCAATGAGCAGAGTCTATATGTAGGGTGAAAGATGTAGAAGATAATTTAGAAAGCAGCTCTGGAAATTTCAGAATTAAAAAATAAAAACTTTATGTGGTTCATTTAATGCTGTTTTAAAGAGGGATTTCTAATGGTTATGGAGAAGGCAGAATAATTCTAGATTTTAAAACTTTTGTCGGGAGGCGAATGCTAGGACTTCTTTTCTCTTTTGAATTTGTCAATTTTAACTGGTTTTATCAATCCTAAAGGGACTCATTTGATAGAAAATGCTTTTTTCAGGTGCAGAAATTACAAAATATCATTGCAAGTCGAGCTACTCAGTATAATCATGATATGAAGAGAAAAGAGCGTGAATATAATAAGCTAAAGGAGCGTCTACATCAGCTTGTTATGAACAAGAAGGATAAAAAAATAGGTAAGAAGCAGCTGGCTAAGATAGAGGAAAGGCAATACTGAAGCTGATATGATGCTAAGAAATAAACGTAAAGGCATTGAGCACAATAACTCAGGAAGCGTTATTTTCATGCTTCATCCAATTGTTTTTAGATGGTGTATCCCCATATAAACTAGAAATTGAGACAGCTGATGAGTGAAAAATAGTAGTTTTACTTTGTTTCATTAGTTGGATATAAGAATTGCACATTTTTTTAATGTGACAGGTGTCGGATTAATCTATAGAGAAAAGCTAAGCCAGAGGACACTCTAGTCTTCCACAGCAAAGAACTAACCATATTAAAAGTCAGGATTGGTTTCTGAGTATCAAAACAAGTGTGATTTTAGAGTTAACTTCATAAAATTGTTCATGAGACCAAATCGTTTATGTCAGTTTGAGTTCCTTTAAATAAGTTTAGCTGTGCCTTTTTGAAACAACTAGTCAAAAGGATGGACTGTGAAAGTTATGCTTGTGTTTGTGCCTATGGTATACTTTTTTCTAATATTTCTCTTCTGAAAATTAATTCACAACTTATGTGATCCAAGCATGTGCATAATTTCAAGTAAATAGCATAGATTAAGCAGTAGGACTACACACGCACAGAAGTAGAGCAACACGGATAGAGTTTTGCCGGCTTCATAAGAGTCAGGGAACAGGAAATCCGAGCGTTGACTCAGAGAGTGGTTGTCCTCTAACCCACATTGTCCAGGGAGACCCTGAACTGTCTCTTCCCAAACCGACCTTGGACTCGCTGATGCGGCAGCTGATGAGCAGGTGTCTCAGGCCGCCACGTGGTGGGCTCTGCCTGCTGTCAGCCCGCAGCTCAGTGGAGACTGCACCACTCTCACCCTGTACCGCAGAGCTGTTGCAGTAAGTGGAGTATTTTATTTTAAAAATTATTGAAAAATGAAAGGTGTGTTAAGCAATTAAGGCATTGATGGAAATCTTTAGACATCCTGAAGGACTAAGTAGTAAACTTCCCTTGGACACCTATTGGTTTTTAAGGCTGGTTAATCTTGTGTTCATTCATGAAGGAAATAACAAAGTTAAAGAGCAGGGTGAAATGCTGGAAGTATAAAATGTAACACCTAGTTAGGGAAGTTTATTAAAGATTTAGCTCTGGTAACCGAGCTCTTACTTTACGGGGGTCTGGCTGTTTCCCAGGCCAGACCCAGTTGGAAGGGATAGTCGCATAACGATTTTATCTTTAAAATTAAAGATCTTTAAAATTATAAAGCTTAATTTTAGCTTTAAAATTACAGTAACTTACGCATCTTATTTCCTGCTCACGACAACTGTTTCCATCTCCTCCTGGGGCAGAGGAGACATTGGCATTGTCAGGATGATGGTGACAGTACAGGGCTTGGCAGACTTTTCCTGTGAAGGTCCAGGTAGTGAATATTATCAGGTTTGTGGTCTTTGTCACAACTATTCATCTCTGCTGTTGTAGCCCAAAAGTAGCCGTGGACAACATATAAACAAATGGTGAGGCTGTGTTCTGACAAAATCAGGCAGCCGCCCGCAGGCCTTGGTTTGCCAACCGCTGGTGGTAAGATTGATAATGGTTATATTTATTAAGTACTTCCTGTGTTGCGTGCTTTAACGTTTCTTTTACTCTTCACCACAGTTCTTTGATAGATGCTTTCATTGTTCCCATGGTATCGATGAAGAAACAGGCTTGGCAGTTAAACAACTTGCCAAGATCACAGTGCTTATAAGTGATGGAGCTGGAACCTGAAACCTGGGCTGTTTGAGCCCAAATCCTAATGTTTACCCCAGGTTGACTTCTGTCCCTAATGTGTCATAGAGTGTAGTAGTTTTGAACACCCAGACGTGTACGGTAAGAACTGATGTTGTGTGTGTTTGTGTTTGTAGCTATGGAGGTTTTAAATTATGTGGGGAGAGCTGATGGAAAAAGAGGCTCCTGGAGGACTGGTAAAACGGAAGCCAGGTAAGGACCAGTTGAAACTGAGAAATTTAAGCCGACTTTTCTTTCTATGCTGCATTTTCATACTGACAGTTTCTTTCTCAGGAATGAAGATGAAATGTATAAAATTCTCTTGAATGATTATGAATATCGCCAGAAACAAATCCTAATGGAAAATGCTGAACTTAAGAAGGTTCTTCAGCAAATGAAAAAGGAAATGATTTCTCTTCTTTCTCCCCAAAAGCAGAAACCTAGAGAAAGAGCAGATGATGGTACAGGAACTGTAAGTGGCCCTTTCCTCTCTAATGCATTCTTGGGGTTGTGGGTCCGAACATTGAAACACTAGCTAGGTGTTCCCAGTGGGGACACCGCTGGTGTTTGGACAGGACACTCACTGCTGTGCTCCAGTCACTGTGACCATTGGGAAGTGTCCCTGTGTGTTTCCAGACATGCTGTGGGACATGATGGCAATTTTCTGGGTAATTAATCAGTGCCAGGCACTGTGATAAGCACTTTATACACGTGGTCACATTTTGTTCTTATAGTAATTTGATACGTTTGATACTGTAACTATTCCCATTTTATCGATGAAGGAACCTGAGGCACAGTAGTTGGCCCGGGTTCACACATGACAGTCTTCCAGGGTTTGCTCTAAGTCTGTCTTCCTCCAGACCTCATGCTTTTAACCACTGTGCCAGATATATCCTTTAAATATTTAACTTCCATGTACTTAAGCAGGCTCTACTTTTCAGAGAGTGAAACTTTGGTTAACTTTGGAAACGAAGTAATTATTCAGTCCATAAATTTATTGAATGTACATTATGTTCTAGTCCTTGGAAAGGAAAAGCTAAATAGACTTGACTTTTTCCCTTGTCTTTGTTTGGGCTGCTGTAACAAAGTACCACAGACTGGGGGGCTTATTAACAACAGAAGTTTCTTTCTCACAGTTTTGGAGCCCAGAAGTCCAAAATCAGGTTGCCAGCAGATGCGGTGTCTGGTGAGGGCCCTCTTCTTGGCTGCAGATTGCTGACTTCTTGTTATATCCTCACATGGCAGAAAGAGGGCAAGAGAGCTCACTGGTCCCTTTTATAGGAGCACTGGTCCCATTGATCAGGGCTCCCCTCTCATGACCAAATCACCTGCCAAAGGTCCCACCTCCTAATACCATCACATAGAGGGTTAGGATTTCAATATAGGAATTTTGAGGGAATAGATGTTTAGTCCATTGCATCCCTCAAGAAGCTCTTTTTGGGGAGAGACAGGCATGTAGAAAAGTGAATTATTACACATGTCAGAGCTATAATAGGGTGCTGCAACGTGTAAAACAAAGCACTTAAAGAAGGCATCACAGAGAAAGTGACATTTGAGTTAGCTCTTAAAAAATAAGTCAGGGGGCCGGCCCTGTGACCGAGTGATTAAAGTTGTGTGTGCTCCGCTTCAGCGGCCCAGGGTTCGTGGGTTTAGATCCCGGGTGCAGACCAACTCCACTTATCAGCCGTGCTGTGGAGGTGTCTCACTACAAAGTAGAGGAAGATGGCACAGATGTTATCTCAGGGCTAATCTTCCTTAAGCAAAAAAGATGAGGATTGGCAATGGATGTTAGCTCAGGGCGAATCTTCCTCACACACAAAAAATAATAAGAAGTTGATGTTTTTGAGGTAGAAAGCATTGATGCAGGGGGGCAGTAGTATGTGCAGAGGTCTGAAGAAAACAAGTCACATAGTGGTAAAAATTCCTTTTAACTTAATTGCTTTGCATATAAGTTTAAATTCCAGATTCAAGCAAGTTCACGTTAGTGACTAAAATCTGAAAATAACAGTGTTAATGGAAAATGCTAATTACCAGCAAGTCACCAGAACTTGTTTTTTAAACCTTTATTTTAGATTATTTATTTTGTGGTATCACAAATCACTCCAACTGATAAGCCCATCCCAACTCCTTGCCTTTTTTTTTTTTATCTTCTTTAAAAAACTCTCCAGTTTGGGGCCTGCTTGACCTCTTATATTTAGTTAACCTTAACCCCCCAAGTCTGTCACTTTGGTCAGCTCTTAACATTCACCGATACCTCTCCAGGGTTAGCATAGTTCTGTTACTCATGTGTTTCTTCAGTTTTGGGCCCAGCTGTCACCAAGCTCCAAAGTGGGTAGAAAATCAAGCGCTCTTTCTCAGATAGTTAAATTTCCCCCTTCCCCATTAGTATCCTGGTGGCAGTATCCTGTATAATTCTTCACAATTCAAATGTTTAAGTTTGGAGAAATAATAATCTCTTAAGTATATTTCCTCTTTTTAAAAGATCCATTTTTCTAGATCCTTTTTCTTTTGAAATTTAAGTAATTCAACCATTCTTTTCTTTTAAGGAAAAACTTTGGAGCATTTTAGCAAGAGGAATAAGATGTAATCTTGGAATGTCTAGGTAGCATCCAAGTTTCATTTATTTATTATTTTGTTTTCTTCATTGTAGCCAAAATAGATACCCCAAATTCAAGTTAAATGGATTTTTTTGTTTTCATTTTGTGGTTTTAGAGTTTCATTCAATCTGGGAAATGTGCAGCAATTATTGTTAATTTTTTTAAATAATGGATTTGTAGTATTCTGGTATGCCCTAAAATATATGGAAGAGGAGGTGTAGCTCCTGGAGGAGTCACTGGCAAGTAGCTCCAGAGGACTGATTGGCAAGGCCCAGAGTCACAGCCGCACCCTGGGCCTTCCGGGACCTGCTGCTTCTGGGAGGCTTTGACCCCTCCCAGCCCATCACTGACCTCAGACTGTCGATACAGTTCTTCACACTCAGCCGCCCTCGTTCCTGCTGGGTCTACATGTGGGAGCAGTTAGTCGACTCTTCTTTCTTTTCATCTTCTTTTTTTCCCCAGCAAGATATTTATTGTTCAAGTTAGTAAAGTATATCTGTCCACTTTCCTGGATGTTGGTAACAAATTAGGACTGTTATGTAGATGCAGATTATTATCACATTGTTTGCCTATGTTCTTTATCCTGCTTTGGTTCTGTATGCTCATATATCAGTAAAGTTTCCCTATGATTTAATGTCTTGGTAGAATACAAAGAAAAATAGTCATGAGTTTTATAAAAAAATTATATGAGAAAAATAGGACTAATAGTTGCTTTTTTCTTTGGAGTTTATTTCATAGGGTTATTTAAGCAGCCTAAGATTGGAGACAAGTTGGTCTAACTTTGTCTTAGTTTTTCCTCTTGGCTGTGTGACATTGGGCAGGTTACTCCTCTCAGCCTCAGTTTCCCCACTTTGGGACATGATTTGAGGATTCATTAACATGTGGAAAGCATCTCATACAACATTGGACATGTAGTGAATAACTCTCCTCTCACAGCCTCATGACTCTTGTCACTAACTTTATTCGGATTCAAATTCGGGTTTGAAGAGACCTGAATTGGGGAATTTCTGTCTTCAATATTAGTTGCTTTTTCTCAAGATATTTATGTTAAGTACTCGGTCATGTATGCTTAAGATAGAGCACAGAAAGGATTTCACTAAGTATATCTGACAATCAGTCTGATTACTACTGCTTCAGTATCTAAAGCCATTTTAAGATACTGGTCTTTCCTTTTCGTCTCTCATAGGTTCTCTCTGATGTTGAGGAAGATGCTGGGGAACTGAATAGAGAGAGTATGTGGGACCTTTCCTGTGAAACTGTGAGAGAGCAGCTTACAAACAGCATCAGGAAACAGTGGAGAATTTTGAAAAGTCACGTAGAAAAACTTGATAACCAAGGTAACTTCTGCCTAAATGCATTTCAAGTGGGTTCTGATGCTCAGTGAACTCTTCATTTTCAGTTGCTGGGAAAGCCACGTTATGGGCTCAGACTTGAAGTACTTTTAGCTCAGGGTGGTGGTTTGAAAAGCAAGAGTCTGCGTCCTCCTAGATGTGAGGTTTGAACCTCGCTGAGAAGATGCACTTTGCTCACAGAGTGTCTTTCTCTGAAAAGAGGACTCGTGTATCCATCTGCTCTGAGCACAGTGTACGGTTGAATAAAGCAAACCAAGCCCTTGCTGAATCTTGGGAATCAAGAAATATTAATTATAATGTGGTATAAATACAAACTTTTTGCTTATTCTTAGATATTTGCATATTCCTAAGTTCCCCATTTCTAAATTATTTTCAAAATAATAGATGTTCAATGCTTTTGTATCAATTAAGAAACGCATAAAGTAGAACATTCAGGTCTCTATATCGTGAACATAACACTTAACAGTGTTGTGCATATCTTTCTAGACTTTTCTCTATGCATTTGCAAAATATTTATTTTAAAATATATAAAAAACAAAAATTGAGTATTATGTATTTTTTCTGCACTGTGCTTTTTTCACTTAACAGTGTATCATTTTAGATCCCATTTCCTGTCATTGTAGATAGAGATATAGCTAAGTTGATGACTATATCCTTAATATTTTATATTTGTTAAAGTTTGCATACTTTTAAATCAAGAAAATGAAGGTTTCTGCTCAGTAAATGAAGTCTACTTAAAGAAAATTTGTTCTAAATTGTCAACAATCACACTCTCTGCCAGTTATCTTCAATAGTAAAGAGCAGTCAGCAAAAAGTGATTATAGTACTAAAATTAATTTACTTGGGATTTTATGGATTTCAGTCATCATTGTGTATTAGTAAATAGCAAGTATGTTTCCACTTCACTTTTGTTTTAATACCAGAGAGCAAGATTGGTAGCACTGTGTTGATGTTTGAAGAAGTGTCAAAAGAATGTGGTTTATGAAAACTGTTTTTCTCTTCTGTGAATGTAGATTGTCCATTTTTAATTAGGACATAATTTTGAATAAATAGACTAGAAATATTGACAGTAGAGTATTTGTAAGGATATCACTGAATACAAAAATAGTACGAATTTATAGTTGTCATGAAATCCTTATAGCTGCTTTGCTTTTTAAAATTTTTCCATGTTAAAAGAATATAAATTTAATTTTCTTATAGTTGATGAAATTTTTAAAGGGCAAAGGAAATAACTGCCTTTTAGAAAACCTATGAGATTCCAGAAAGATAAAAGTTCTAGGAGCCTTGATTTTTAAATATATGTCCCCAAACACCGTAAACCAGATGGTAGCTGTAATACTTATGTGAAATTACTGGTTTTGTGTTAGTTTCAAAGGTACACCTAGAAGGTTTTAATGATGAAGATGTAATCTCACGACAAGACCATGAGCAAGAAACTGAGAAGCTCGAGTTAGAAATTCAGCAGTGTAAAGAGATGATTAAAACCCAGCAGCAGCTTCTACAGGTAAATGTTAGTTACCTTTCAGAGCTGTTCCCCTGAGAAGGGCCAGAATTTTACTGATTCTCACTAGACTTTTATTCCTTTATTTCATAAGATCTGTAGTATTTGACATTTTTCTGATCCAAACTCTGCTTGCTAACAGATGGATCTCGTGCCATTCCTTAGGCTGCGCTTTACTTAGAGTAGGAGCTTTTGGGAAATGGGACTCCTCAGTGGGCTTTCTGATTCTTCCTCATTTCTGTCCTTCCCCTAAAGTTCGACCTGCCTTCCCTTGCTTTCATGTCACGTTGTTGGAGTGGTGCCGGGACCCTCTGGAACTGACTATGTTTTAAATTTAATAGCAGCAGCTTGCTACTGCGTGTGATGATGATACCACTTCACTGCTGCGAGACTGCTATTTGTTGGAAGAAAAGGAACGCCTCAAAGAAGAATGGTCCTTATTTAAAGAGCAAAAAAAGAATTTTGAGAAAGAGAGACGAAGCTTTACAGAAGCCGCTATTCGGCTAGGATTGGAGGTATTTTAGACAATTCGCTTTCCCCGTAGAGCTTTCGAGAATCATGGGGAGGTCTCAGTAGAATGCATCTAAGTTCTGCTTTTCATTGTTTTTTTGCTACCTATTTTTTTCTGAAGAATTTTACCAGTGATCTCATTCGTAACTTGAAATAGGAGGGGTGCTAAGCACATGAACTGTGGAAATCTTTACGAGATTTGGGACTTGAACATTTTTTTGAAAAAAATACCTATAAGCATTCATTCCCTTTGGGATTGGCTTTCTACTGATAAGTGTTTCGCTTCATACCAGAGAGCTTTCAGGCATCTGTCGTCTACCCACTGTTGCTAGGTGTAGTGTCAGAAAACAGTGCAGCCAAGAGCATGTTTGATGTTTAAGAAAAAACAAAGTATAGTACAAAGTAAGAGTCCATGCCCGTCGCCATGTCCCTCACCCAGGATGTATGTATTCCTTCCCAGTGAACAGTTTGGATTGTCGTGTATACACTTCTGCAGCTTGCTGGGTTTTTTTTTTTCCTGCTTTTTGCTCCCCAAATCCCCCCAGTACATAGTTGTATATTTTAGTTGTGGGTCCTTCTAGTTGTGGCACGTGGGACTCTGCCTCAACATGGCCTAATGAGCGGTGCCATGTCCGCGCCCAGGACCCGAACCCTGGGCCACCGCAGCAGAGCATGCAAACTTAACCACTCGGCCACGGGGCCAGCCCCAGCAGCTTGCTTTTTTAGTTATCAGTGTATTACCTACATGTTTCCCTTTCAAAAGTAATGTCTGAACATGGTTTAAAAAGTAAACTCAACCCTAACAAAAAGATAGAAAGTGAGAAAATAGCCTCCATTCTTATTTCCAGTTTCATTCCTCAGAGGTAACCACTGTTAGAAATTTCTTTTTTTGTTCTGGAAAGTACTATTTTAGCGTTAGTCCAACCTGTGTTTCTTTTTTCTTTATTTTTTTCATTTATTTACTTTGTTTTTTTGAAATTTCACTTGTACATTATTTTTGTCACTCACCGTATAAATGCACTCCTTCACCCCTTGTGCCCACCCCAACCTCCTTCCCCTCTGGTAACCACTAAATTGTTCTCTTTGTCCATCTGTCTGTTTATCTTCCACACATGAGTGAAATGATGTGTTGTTTTTCTTTCTCACTCTGGATTGTTTCACTTAACATGATAGCCTCATGGTCCACCCATGTTGTTGCAAATGGCACAATATTGTCTTTTTTATGACTGAGTTGTATTCCATTGTGTGTGTGTGTGTGTGTGTGTGTGTGTATGTATATATATATACATACACACACACCACATCTTCTTTACCCAATCATCAGTCACTGGGTACTTGGGTTGCTTCCATGTCTTGGCTGTGGTGAATAATGCTGCAATGAACATAGGGGTGCATAAGTCTCTGAATTGTTGATTTCATGTTCTTTTGATAAGTACCCAATAGTGGGATAGCCAAGTCATGTGGTATTTCCATTTTTAATTTGTTGAGAAATCTCCATAGTGTCTTCCATAATGGCTGCACCAGTTTACATTACCACCAGCAGTGTATGAGAGTTTCCTTTTCTCCACATCCTATTTTTTGTCTTAGTGATTATAGCCATTCTAAGAGGTGTAAGGTGATATCTTAGTGTAGTTTTGATTTGCATTTCCCTGGTAATCAGTGATGTTAAACATTTTGTCATGTGCCTATTGGCCATATGTATGTCTTCTTTGGAAAAATGTCGGTTCGTATCCTCTGGCCATTTTTTGATCGGGTTGTTTGTTTTTTTGTTGTTCACTTATGTGAGTCCTTTGTGTATTTTGGAGATGAACCCTTTGTCGGACACAGGGTTTGTAAATGTTTTCTCCTAGTTGGTGGGTTGCCTTTTCGTTTTGTTCTTGGTTTCCTTTGCCTTGAGGAGCTCTTTGTTCTGATGAAGTCCCACTTGTTTATGTTTTCTTTTGTTTCCCTTACCTGAGTAGACATGGTATTCGAAAAGATCCTTCTCAGACCAATGTCAAAGAGTGTACAGCCTATATTTTCTTCTAGGAGTTTTGTGGTTTCAGTCTTACCTTCAAGTCTTTGATCCATTTTGACTTAATTTTTGTGTATGGTGAAAGATAATGGTCTACTTTCATTCTTTGCAAGTGGCTGTCCAGTTTTCCCAAAACCATTTATTGAAGAGACTTTCCTTTCTCCATTGTATGTTCTTGGCTCCTTTGTCAAAGATTAGCTGTCCATAGATGTGTGGTTTTATTTCTGGGCCTTCAGTTCTGTTCCATTGATCTGTTTGTCTCTTTTTGTACCAGTACCATGCTCTTTTGATTACTCTAGCTTTGTAGTTTATTTTGAAGTCAGGGATTGTGATTCCTCCAACTTTGTTCTTTTTTTCTCAGGATTGCTTTAGCTATTTGGGGCCTTTTGTTGCCCCATATGAATTTTAGGATTCTTTGTTATATTTCTGTGAAGAATGCCATTGGGATTCTGATTGAGATTGTATTGAATATGTAGATTGCTTTAGGTAGTATGGACATTTTAACTATATTTATTCTTCCAATCCATGTGCATGGAATATCTTTCCATTTCTTTATGTCATCATCAATTTCTCTCAATAATGTTTTATACTTTTCATTGTATGTCCTTCACCTCCTTGGTTAAATTTATTCCTAGATATTTTATGCCTTTTCTACAATTGTAAATGGGATTGTATTCTTGAGTTCTCTTTCTGTTAGTTCATCATTAGGGTATGGAAATGCAACTGATTTTTGTAAGTTGATTTTGTACCCTGCAACTTGGCTGTACTTGTTGATTATTTCTAATAGTTTTCTGATGGATTCTTTTGAGTTTTCTATATATAAAATAATGTTGTCTGCAAACAGCAAAAGTTTCATTTCTTCATTGCCTATTTGGACTCCTTTTATTTCTTTTTCTTGCCTAATTGCTCTGGCCAAAACCTCTGGTACTATGTTGAGTAAGAGTGGTCAGAGTTGGTGCCCTTGCCTTATTCCTGTTCTCAGTGGAATGGCCTTCAGTTTTTCCCCATTGAGTATGATGTTGGCTGTGGGTTTGTCGTATGTGGCCTTTATTATGTTGAGGTACTTTCCTTTTTATACCCATTTTATTGAGAGTTTTTATCATAAATGGATGTTGGATCTTGTCAAATGCTTTGTCTGTGTCTATTGAGATGATCATGTAGTTTTTTATATCTCATTTTATTAATGTGGTGTATCACATTGATTTGCAGATGTTGAGCCATCCCTGTGTCCCTGGTATAAATCCCACTTGATCATGGTTAATGTATTGCTGTATTCAATTTGCCAATAATTTGAGGATTTTTGCATCTATGTTCATCAGCGGTATTGGCCTGTAAGTTTCCTTTCTTGTGTTGTCCTTGTCTGTCTTTGGGATCAGGGTGATGTTGGCCTTGTAGAATGTGTTAGGAAGTGTTCCATCTTCCTCAGTTTTTTGGAATAGTTTGAGAAGGATAGGTGTTAAATCTTCTTTGAATGTTTGGTAGAATTCTCCAGAGCAGCCATCTGGTTCTGGACTTTATTTTTGGGGAAGTTTCAGATTCTCTCTTTCTTCTTGGTTCAGTTTGGGAGGTTGTATGAGTCTAAGAATTTATCCGTATCTTCTAGATTGTCCAGTTTGTTAGCATATAGTTTTTCATAGTATTCTCTTATAATCCTTTGTATTTCTGTGGTATCTGTTGTAATTGCTCCTCTTTCATTTTTAATTTTATTTATTTAAGCCTTCTCTCTTTTTTTCTTAGTGAGTTGGCTAAGGGTTTGTCAATTTAGAGCTGCTTCTTTGAGAAGATAAACTTTGTTTCATTGATCCTTTCTACTGGATTTTTTGTTTGTTTCAATTTCGTTTATTTATCCTCTAATATTTATTATTTCCCTTCTTCTGCTGATTTTGGGCTTTGTTGTTCTTTTTCTAATTCTGTTAGGTCTAGTTTAAGATTGCTTATTTGAGATTTTTCTCAATTTGTTAAGGTGAGCCTGTATTGCTAAGAATTTCCCTGTTAGGACAACTTTTGCTGCATCCCATATGAGTTGGTATGGTGTATTTTCACTCTTATTTGTCTCAAGATTATTTTTGTATTTCTTCTTTAATTTCTTCAATGATCCATTGGTTGTTCAGTAGCATGTTGTTTAGTTTCTACATATTTGTTACTTTCCTGGCTTTTTTCTTACAGTTGATTTCTAGTTTCCTAGCATCATGGTTGGAAAAGGTGTTTGATATGATTTCAGTCTTAAATTTATCGAGGCTTGCCTTATTTCTCAACATACGGTCTGTCCTTGAGAATGTTCCACGTGTACTTGAGCTGTGTATTCTGTCTGCTGGGATCTGTGGCTCGCTGACTTACGGCTGCTGCTTTTGTATCTGCGAGGGTGCTCTGGCCAACAGGCTGAGCTGGAGTGCCGGGCAGGGGGAGTGGCACTTTCTTTCACTTACATGATCCCAGGGGCTTCTTGCTCTGCCCTCTCTGCTCGTCTGGGGTGGTGGCTTGATGGAGACACCCCCACAATAGCTTAGTCTTGGTGTGGGGCTTTCCCTAGGACTGTGAGGGAACTTGGAGAGCAAAGATGTTCCCACAGAGGGCCACCCCTCCCCCCTCTACTCTCAGAGCTATTCCTGGTCCCGGGGTTGCTGCCATTCAGGAGGGAGCAGAGATTCCCCTTCCTCCTTTTACATCCTCTGGGGGGTGCAGCACCTCCACCTTCAGACGCGTGATGCGTGGGTCTCTCAGACGTCTTTTGTGTTGTGTGAATGTCCTCTGTTGGTTTATGAATGTCCTTTCTGCCGTATCTTAGAGGGGAGAGTCTAGGGGAAGTGCTCACTCTGACCTGTTTTTCTTGATACCAGTCTCTTGATTACCACTCTGAAAGATAAGGCATTTAGTGTCCTTATCACACTTGCCATCTACACTCTTCCACATCTCCATCTGATTTTCGTAATATTATTACTTTTTTAAACTACTTTTTAAAAAGCCGTTTCTTCTGGTTGACCTTTTATACTTTAAGTAAAATGTTTAATGCTTCCACTTCATGTTTACCCACCTTCAGACAGTATCAGTTTATCCCTCAGTGAAAGCTGCAGACATTCCTAGACTTGCCTTGCTCCACTTTGGCTTCCTTGTCTTTGTCTGTGATGATATATTTCACTGTCCAGTGTTATCACGTGTAGATTCTGTCCTGTAATGTAATCCAGGTGTAAGTACTTTGTCTAAGGTTGAGACATAAAAATTGAAGACCAGGAAAAAACGTTGGTAACATCACGATTATGTAAGTATTATTCATTCTATAACCAGGGAATATGTTTGGACACATAGAAAATATTCTGTTATTAAGCCTTTGTCACTTGGAAGAGAATCTTCCAAGTATCACTATGTCGTGAATTCTTTCACTTTCTTCATAACTTCCTTTATGATTTCCTGAATCAGATTCAGCTGCTATTTTTCTTATTTCTCATGTTATTCTTTCTTGGCTTCCCTTTTCACTTTGCTGTATTACCTTCTTAGTAATTTTTTCATTAGTAGTGTGTGAGTGAAAAATATTCTGAATTCTGGAATATCCAAAAAATATATTCATACTTGATTGGTTTGGCTGGATATGAAATTTAGGTTTCAACTTTTTCCCTCAAAACTTTGTTATTCCATTTCTTCTAGTGTTTGATTTTGTTAATGAGAAGCCTGATTATAATATAATCTACATTACTTTGTAGATACCTTGTTTTATTTTTTCCCCTTCTCTGGAAGCTTTTGGAATTTTGTATTCTTAAAGTTCCAAAATGTTACCAGTATACATGTAGGTAGCTTCTTGTAGCCTGAAGACACTTTTCTTCAATATGGGGATATGTTCTTCCATTCTGTATTTTTGTCCTTCTTTGACTTCTCTCACATTCTGTAACTTCTGTTAGACAGTTTGGCCTTGTGACTAAATCTATAGATTGACTTTATCTTGTGAATTTGGGGATCTTCTCTTACCTGTGTCCTGTTCATCACCAGCCTGGTATTCAGCAGGGTCAGTTTTATTATTCATTTCATCCACTGAGTTTTTATTTCAGAATTTATCTTTTAAATTTTCTAATGTCTTTTTATTTTTCTTTGTATAGCACTATATTATTTTATAGATGTTCATAAATCTAATAATTTATGTTACAGTTTTTAAAAAAGATTTCTTCTATCTTGAACTGTTATCCATGGTCAGTTCTCTTTATTTATCTTGGTCTTTTTTCTCTTACACTATTAGTTTTCTTCAAATTCTGGTAATGCATGATTTTGTGTTAATATTTATGAATGAAAGACCATATGTTGGTTATTTTAAGTGGCTGACATGGATTTTCTCCACAGTTATGGAAGTCTGTTTCATCATTAGCTATCTTCCTCAGGAAACAAAAACAGTTTGCACCAGTATTTTCTCCTCTTATGGGGTCACTTCTGCTTCTGAGCAATATCCCCTACCTGCTCCAAGAGCCACTCTTGCTCCTTTGTGTGCCACTCCCAGCTCACTGCATGAGAATCCGTCTGCCTGTGGTCACTGGGGGCGGTAGGGTCAGTGAAGGATGGGAAGGAGGGATGAGACACTCGGTGGGTGCGGGAGAGTTTAGTTCAGGGTTCGTCAGCTGTTCAGCAGGGGAAGGTGTGGCATGTGCCCTCTCGTGGATCAGTGGTGGTGGCTGCTCTCGCTGCTAGATGGTTGGAGGATGAGAGCCATGCTTGATGAAGCCATATCTCCTTTTTTTCGAATGATTACAGTGGGGTATTTTTCTGTTGTTTGTAGTTTTATATTTACAATGTTCTCTATGTTCAAAAGTTATGTTAAGATTCTGTACATTTAAAAGTTCTGCTAATATGCTATATTTTAGTGCATTTTTCATTTGAATGTGTTCAGAATTGATATGAAAATAGGGATTAGTTGGTTTATTAGGTGAAAAGGGTGAATTTTTATTGAAGCATAATTTTCTTAAATTTTTCTTAGTTTTCTAGGTTAATTCATTTGACTTCAGAAATATATCTGATAGCCAGAAAGCACACACAAATAGCTAGAGAAATCATGTGAAATGGCAACTCTGTGAATGTTGAAATATTGATCAGTGTTTCTCTGGTTTGCTTGTTATGGTAGAGAAAGGCATTTGAAGAAGAAAGAGCCAGTTGGTTAAAGCAACAGTTTTTAAATATGACTACCTTTGACCACCAGAACTCAGAAAATGTGAAACTTTTCAGTGCCTTCTCAGGAAGTGAGTACTTCATAAACTCTTCAATCTGAAAATGCATGTAAATAAAATACTGTAAATTATTAATGTAAAACTTGAGATCACCAGTAAGTGTTCTCTAATTGGAACTAAAAAATCAACTTTAATATTTTATTTGCTGTAGTCACAATGGGAATGACAGGAGGACTATTCATACCAGAAACAACTTTTGTTGTTAATGTAATAATATCAAGTTTTTGAAAATTCGGTCTGGAAATACTTTTAAACCTACATCCTTCTAAATGTGAAATATGCATAACAAAGATCACCAGATTAGCTAGACGTGAGTCATCGGGCTAGAGTGGATGCTCAGATTAGTTGGTTCCATCTCATACCTCCCTCAGAACCGCGAATGAAGCATCCTAGTTAGTTACCTTCACTATATTTAATACCTCACTGTGTGTACTGCCTTTTTTTTTTAAACAGGTTCTGATCGGGACAATCTTACAGTACACTCGAGGCCACAGCAGAAGAAGCCTCACAGTGTGTCTAACGGGTCTCCAGCTTGCACATCCAAACTTACGAAATCTCTTCCCGCTTCTCCTTCTACTTCAGACTTTTGCCAGACACGTTCCTGTGTGTCTGAACATAGGTATTGGTCTCTGGATGGTCTTCTCACATATTTGGAAAATCGCTAGAGTTGTGTCGCTGAGGAAAGTCGGCACGTCGGTAGTGTCAGGAACCGGAGGGGTTTTGGAGAGGAATTCAGTAGATCAAGGCATTCATTTTACTAATGTTTCTCGGGTGTCTGTATATACACACACCTGCTGGGTGCTGGAATATGATAGTGAACAAGGTAGATGGTTCCTGTCTTATGGGACCTGGATCATGTAATGTGATTCCTTTTATTTCACACCTGAAATACAACTTAAAATGTAGTCTTATTTACAGGAATCACTTAATATTTTGAGTAATTTATACTTTTATTAAATAGAAGGATACTGTTTTGACAGTTTTTGAAGAGTACTTATTTCAGAGTTTCTTTTGATGCCCATTTTCCTGATGTTGAAGGGCAAAGAACTCTAAAAAGCCTTCTCATCTTCACTGTTGAGGAGGATATGTGCCCAAGAATGACAGGGTAAAAAAAGTGGCCCTTCACCCCCAGGAAACCCATATTGCTATTAATTGCCTCATTTGGGTATTTTCCTCTGTCTCAAGTTGTTAAATCATGTTCTCAAGTATAATATCAATGCTGTATGTCAGAGCCTATTGTAAGATTTCATTTGAACTAAGTAGATAGAGAGAGGGACAGAAAAGAGCGTCAGACTACATTGGCACGTGTGGTGGTCTCTTCCTCTTGAGTAGGAGCCGGGCCTGGGGGCCTGCGGGCTGGCAGGCGCCTCAGAAAGCGGGAGTCGGGCTGCTGCACACTTGGCCTGCGGTTGTGAGAGACTGGTGTGGAGCCAAGTGTTGAAGAAGCCAGCTAGCCCTTGGACCAAGAATTGTTAAATAGGTGAACTTGAAAACAAAAATATGAAGCTTTTGAAAAGGACGAAACACTATAGTTGACTTTCAAAAAGATTAGGACTCAAAGTAAACTTCGAGCGGGCAAAAGAGAGCTGGGGAAGAGCCCTCTGAGGAAGTGTAGGGCCCCTGAGCTGGAACACTGGCAGTTTGTGGATGGTGAGTGTGCTTAGTGAGCAAGACCACAAAGGGAGAAGTCAGGGTAGGGGGTGGGCGGGGGCCATGTCCTACAGGCCCTGGGTGAGGAGACGGGGGTTAAAACTTTGTGAAAGTTCAAGTATATACAGATGTGGAGAGAATAAGGTCATGAACCCCTGTGTACCCATCATCCAGGTTCAGCAGGCATCGACTTGTGACAGTGGTATTCATATATAACCCCGCACACACTTGAGATTTCATTGATAAAACATTTTAGTCTATTTGTAGGTGAGATAGTGTTCTAGGGCGATGGGAAAGCATTGCAGACTTTTAAGCAGGAGTGTGAAAAAAAATCAGAGTTTTAAAAAAATTATTATGTGGAAACAGATTGTAGGAGCCAGTAATATAAGCCAGGACATCCAGAAGGAGGCATGAGTGGAGTTGAGGTGAGAGAGGATGGTAATTTGGACCAGGGTCATAACACGAGGATAGAAATGCTTGAATTTGGGATATATTTTGCAGTTTTGCAAATAGATTGACTCATAGGGTCAAAGTTCATTTATAATCAAAAGATATTCTAAGCTCAGAGTATTTTCTTACACAAAATGTTATTAAACCCTTAATTTTGACCAATCCGAACTATCTATATAGCTGTAGACACAAATTCTAGTCTCTATTTATACATACCGCATTCTGAATCTGTGAACATAGCGTAGTTGCTGCAATTATGTCTTTACAGTTTTTACTTTTTTACCTAATTAGTATTATACATAAATATCCTTGAAGACATTGTTTTGTGTTTAATAAAGATAAAAAGTCTAACATTTAGTACATCCATCAAAAGATGTTACAAGATTGTGTCAATATATGTAAAGCACGTAAAAGCAGTACTTATTCCATTATAAACCTTTAGTAACGGCGATAAAAATATCTGTGAACATAAATGGATTATAAAAATGCTACTGTGTTTCCTTCCTTCTGAGGGCTGCACTAAACAGCGTCAGTGGCATAGAAACAAAATTTGGGAGTGTTGAGACACTCCATTAAGGTATTCACAGTGGCCTCTGAAGCTAAGGCAAACCTAGAAAAGAGTTGTATAAGTAGTCATCAGGAGAGAAGCTGCGAAGCACCTTGGATCTGGGTTTCTAATGAGATTATAACAAAATAATTAGGAGTATTCCTAGCTAATTTCCACAACGACATGCTCATTTCTCCTTCACTATAGAATGGAATTTTACAGAAAGGCTGTCTGGATTCCATGCAGAGCAACTCCCAACTCGTATCCTAAGTTACTGAAGGAACTTAGTCGATCACTGATTTCATCTCATCTGAGAAGGCAGGGATTCTGAGGGTTGAATTATAAGCAAGTTCCTTTTTTTTTTTAAGTACTGGCAAATAAGTGTAAGTAAAATTTTTAGGGACCTGTGGCTGAGTGGTTAAGTTTGTGCGCTCTGCTTTGGCGGCCCAGGGTTTTGCCGATTGGGATCCTGGGCCAGACATGGCACCGCTCGTCAGGTCATGCTGAGGTGGCATCCCACATAGCAGGACCTACAACTAGAATATACAACTATGTACTGGGGGGCTTTGGGGAGAGGAATGAAGAAGAAAAAGAAGATTGGCAACAGATGTTAGCTCAGGTGCCAATCTTTTTAAAAAAACTTTAAAAAAAATTTTTTTAATTGTTTTGGTTTAGATTTTTAGAATTAAAGCAACTTAATGTTTTTTTAGGATTCACATTAATGAGGTTGAGATAATAAAGTCACAAAAAATTGTACATTTAGGAAAAAAGGTTTTTGTGAAAAAATGGTGTAAGATATTCATTTGATAAAAATGTGTTGTTCACTGGCTTAATCCCACAGATTTGAAAGTAATCATTTCACCAGATTTCTGTTTCGAGGCCGGTTGTGAGCATAGCTCTCAGATTGTATTGCTGAAGGGAGGAGCTGTGTCTCTGTTCAGATGCTGAGGTGGTTTTTGCCTGACACTTAGAGTTCATTGAGCGCTGTTGTAAGAGCTTGATGTGTGTAATTCCTCTAGGTCCTCCCACCCCCACCCTACAAGATAGGTACTATTAGTATTTCCGTTTCACAACTGGGGAAACTGAAAAACAGGGAGGTTTAACTTGTCAAAGTGACATAGTAAGTGGTCCAGCTGGGCTATGAACCTAAACCATCTGACTTCAGGGTCTGGACTGAGAAGCACTTTTGTAGGCACTCAGTAACTATCTGTACGGATGAATGGATGGATAGCTGACAGCACACATGAACAGATGGAAACAGTAAGGAAAGAAACCAGAGAGATTAGAAAATGGTGGCAGAGAGATGGGGATATGGGAAACCCACGTGTTTGTATCTACCTTGGGCTTCATTTGGGCAGAGTGCTTCAGAATAGATTAAAGAGATAAATAAGCAGATGGATAAATAGATGGACAGATAAGATGAAAGTGATAAATTAGGCCATTCTGAAATACTTGTTTGTTCTTGATCTGTATGTCCTCAAAGTTTACTTAGCATGGGACAAGGGAATAATCAGACTTTACACATTCAGGCATACCTAACATATAAAAGGAGGAGGAGATGATTATTAAGATCTGCCCTTCTTTCCCAACAGTTCAGTCAACGTGCTGAATATCTCTCCTGAAGAATCTAAACCAAATCAGGTTGGAAGAGAATGTACAAATCCGAAATGGAGCGTGGCGTCCAGACCTGGGGCGCGGGAAGGTTGCTATAGCGGATGCTCCGTGACCTGCACAAATTCTCATGTAGAAAAAGATGACTTACCTTAGACATGTGGACTGGAATCCTTTTCATTAACATGTTCATCGCATGTCACATCTAAGTTGAAACAGGATGTGTCATAAAGTCAATCATCCAGAAATATAAGATGGTCTGAGTTCTTTGTCTGGACTTCCCTGTTCCTCCCCCAAAGAGCTAAAATGTTAAATCTATTTAAAAGGATATAAAAGCTTTGGATATGTATTTTTAGTAACAGAAGCATCTGGTTCTGCGAATAAAGGAATGTATAGATGTTTGGATGGAAACAAAAGCACTAGAATGAGTTTCCTCTTATAGATATGAAAATAGCACTTTTAGGAAACTGATTATTGTAAATGTTTAATTTTGTTTCATATGTAGTTGGCATTGAAAGTTTAGCCTTTACTTGAATGTACACTGTAGATTTTTAACAAAGCAAGTTCTATATTTATTATGTTTAGTGTGATTTGAAATTTCCTCTTTCATATGTTTTAAATAAAGTGAAATTTATGTATGTTTTGTACATAGATATACATGATTATGTTTAAGAGGCTTTAAGATTTAAAAATTTTACACATCCATAATTATAGTATTTCATGCCAATTTTTTTTAGCGATATTCTGTTTACAGATGTTTTAGAACCATGTTACGTTTAAGAATTTTTGAACCCATCTGAGCAATAAATCCTCAAAAGCTATTCCATGAAACTGAATTCTTTATATAATTGACATTACTAACATTACACTTTTGAGATTTCTACATCATTAGAAATGAGCATTTTTATTTTGTATATGTAGGATATAATTTTTCAAAGGACTTTTGATTATAGGGTAATAGCGCTAAGACATCAAGAGTACCTTTGAATAAAGCAATTTAAGAAAATGGGTTTAAGATATTTGGATGATAGAAGATAGCAAGATATTTAAGATATTTGGATGGTGATATTTCCTTTACCAGATGGTTACACCATAACACCTGTACCAGCTGGGCTTTGTATAGTTGCCAATAACTTTTAATTTTTCAGTGAGGTATTTGCCACTAATGATAAGGAAATCTGACCGTGTAAAAACATCCAATTTTACAATCCAGATCCTATGATACTCTGGACAGACTGTGTCATTTCATTTTCAGAACTGATTGCATGTTTCTTCATGTGTGTTGTTGTTGTTGACACTAATAAGAAATGCAGTCCCAGGATTTTCATCAAAAAGCTTTAAGTGCCTGACCTTGTTTGTGTCTGTACATAGACGCCTCCACAGATCCAGTCCGTGCTGGGTGTTGTAATTTAGCCCATCTGCCTTCCCATTTTCTAGCAGTTCGACCACTCAACATTTACCCTGTGTGGCTGCTCCGTTTACATTTGTCGTATACAAGTCTATTTTTGTCACCTGTTCACTGTATAACTCTCTGGGATTGTGTAGCAGCAGCCGTTTTTTCAGGGGTGTTAGGATGTCGAGTATCTTCTAAGATATTCATGAACTCATAACAAAGTAACCACATTTATAGTCTCAGAAAGCTGGCTCTTGAGCAAAAGCAAGTTAGTCACTACCTTCAGCTTGATGCATGCTCACTTCTTTACTGTTTAAAATATTAGAAATGACACAGAATTTCAGAGTGCCATATTGCAAAGGAAGAAACCGCTGGGATAGAATTCTTTTGCTATTGAGCAATAATGTGATCAAAGGCAATCAGAAATTTTTGAAAGTAGTCCATGATACATTTGTCAAAAATTTTTTTTTTCAGGGGTTTCCATGATATACTTTGCCAGAAACAAGCATTTTAATTCTTAAAGTGAATCTCTTACTTTAGGGGATGTTGCATTCCATGACAATGGATTTCTACAAAGCAGCATCTGGTTTTCATTGTGTTTCCATTTTAATGTTGGTTGAATTCTCACGTTGGAAAGAAAAATTCCTTGAGACTTGACTTTGAAATCTAAGGTGTGAAAGAAACAGTAAAGTGAAAGCCAGGTTCATTGTACTTTTGATGAAAGTCTGCATAGATTTGCTAGAAGTTGTGTTTTACCAACAGCGTCAGTTTTGCTTTACTGTACATTCCAACTCCGCACTGACTCCCAGTCACGCCAGACTTCCCAGGATGTTGGAATGGCTTCCGTGCTGGAAAACTCCACATGTGAAGCTCCTGGGCTTTTATTTCCCTTCCCTTTCTAGGTATTTGCAGTGTGCTGATAATCCAGCTGTGCTGCTGTCTTCAGTTTAGCCCTGATTAGATGATGGTACCACAGTGTCCTTTAGCTTCAAAGTCCTCCTGATAATCTTAAACATTTTCTTGTTTATTAATATGTAAAGCTGAAGTATTTTGTACCTCAAGTTTATTTTTACATGGCATATCCATTTTGAATTTTCAAAGCATAAAATTGGCAAAGAAAATTTAAGATAATTTTATTTCCTATTCAAATTTTTGTATCTTCAATTTATGGTGATGAGAAACTTAATAGAAGAATAATCATACCAGAAAATTAAAATTTAGTAAGTAGACATTTTCTTATAGAAGCAATGTATGAAATGTTTGGATTCACAGTCCACAGCAGATTATTTTCCTCATGGTATAATTAACATAGTGTTGTGACTAGAGTTCCATACTTCCTACCTTTGCTTACCAGACTTGTTCACAGGCTTGTGGTAACACAGTTTTTGTGGGAAAACACATTCCATGGTGCATGAAGAGAAGGAGAGCGCCCTGGAGTCCAGTCTTCACCTCCCCGTGGAGCATCTGAAAACCCCTGGAGGCCAGGAGGGGCCTGCCTGGGACGCTGCGAGCTAGCAAGCCCATGTGTGATTGCCCTGTTGTAAAAATCTTCAAAGTATGTTGCCTAATGTAAATCATGCTCTTGTTTCTAGATTGGATTCAAAGTAAATATCGGTCATGGAAGTCTAGTAAATATACTTTTCCCTATGTTTGTCCTTAATTTTGTTCAATCTTTTGATAAGCGTTTATAAAGTACCTGCTGTATTTCAGAGCTTATTACTACATTTAGTCACTGGGGATAGAAGGCAGCCAGGTACACCCCCTACCCCGAAAGGCTCTGAGTTGGGTGGACGACCAGCTGTATAAACCTAAACTGTAATTAACAATGGTAAATGCTATTCAGACATTCACTCTGTCAATAAAACTTAAAGTGACTGTTCTGTTCCAGGACCAAATATCAATTGCATAACAGTGACATGAGTAGGCTTCCAGTTCTAGTGTCTGCATTATTTCCTATGGGAAGTACTAAACTATTATTATTGTTTTGCTGGCTTTTGATTTCATTTTGTTGTCTAAGATCAGAATATTGACCTGCAAAGCAGTACAAGATTTTCTGCCCACAAAAACACTATTATCTAATAGAAAAAGCATTTATGAAGATTTGGGCTACATAGATAAGAATAATGAAATAGGTTATTCTAGTCCTTTTTATAAATACTGGCTTTTTTCAGGCTGGGTGTAAATTAAAGTGTAGTGGACTGTTGATTTAATTATTTGATTTATATAAACTATTTCACTCAACTGGCTAAGATTTTTTTAACTTTTAACATTTACAAATAACTGATTTCAGAGGTCTCAGGTGGCATTGTGATGCCAGTGATAGAGATCCAGTAAAGATCCTCAATATTCATATATTTTAGATTCAGAAATATTTATACCTAGTATGATGCTTAATGCTTAGTAAGCACATAATATTTGTTAATGAGAAGTATAAAACACTAATGAAACAAATGGCACATCTCTTCATTGGCATGAGTGGACTAAATTTCAGGTCAAAATCCTAAAACTTACTTTCTCAGGAGCATAGGAACATTTTCTGGTATATTTCCAATCCTATCTAGGTTGGTTCCTTGCACAAAGTATTAGGATAGAATAGGCCGTATTACAAATAAAAAATACTGAATTGGTGGGGCTGACCCCGTGGCCGAGTGGTTAAGTTCGCGCGCTCCGCTGCAGGCGGCCCAGTGTTTCGTCAGTTCGGATCCTGGGCACAGACATGGCACTGCTCATCAAACCACACTGAGGCAGCGTCCCACATGCCACAACTAGAAGGACCCACAACTAAGAATATACAACTATGTACCGGGGGGCTTTGGGGAGAAAAAGGAAAAAAAAACCTTAAAAAAAAAATACTGAATTGGTGTAGCTCAATACAGAAGTTTAATCCTGGCTCCTGAGATGTCCAATTGTGTATTGGGCAGCCGTCCTCCAAGTTTATGCCATCTGGAACTCATGGCCCCCAACGTTGTCAAATTGGGGAAAGAGCAGACTGGCAGATGATGCTGGCTATTAAGGACCAAACCTGAAAGAGACGAGCTTTCCACCTGCATCATTTTGTCCAGAGCCTAGGCTGACAGCCCCAGCCTAACTACAGATAAGACTGGGAGAGAGAAAACGAGGCTATTAGCTGAGCGCTGACATTTGCTACGTAGCGTCGTTGGTGCTTGATAGTTCATCCAATCAGTCACTTATTTAAAAAAGCAACTAGCAAAACATACTACTCTGTGCAAGGGATTTATTGCTGATTATTAAATCTTCAAATAGGCAGTTTTTGAAAGTGGTGTATTTAAGGCTTGTCTTACCTTCACTAACCTTTTCATACTACGAAGTTTCAGATGTCCAAATGGTAGTTTTGCACAGTTACTAAAATGTCTTACCGTGCACAGAACACACATTTTCATTTGAGTCTTTCAATAACCCTATGAGAGAATATTAACCTTCCCATTTTTAGAGTGTCGGTAACAGACTCAGATGTTAAGTGACGAACCAAAGGTCACACAACTAGTAAGTGATAAGTTCAGAACTTAAAAACCCAGATCTTCTGATCTCTAAATTTCCACTTTATTCCAGACTGCTACAGTGCCTTTTGGTATGGCTTTTTAAATGAAACTGCTCAATTCTTAACCCATAATTAGCTACCCTATAAGTTACACCAAAGGAATTGATCATTTGGTCCAGGTGCACGGCTCACCCTTGTTTTTGTGGATGGTTACCATAGCAATCGTATTCAGAGTTGGACTTCTACCTTTTCAAGATTAGGGCATTAGGGATCTCACTGAAACACTAATTTAGTAACTAAATTAGTAACTAAGTTCCACTGAGTAATCCCAAGATACACCTAGACAGCCTGCTTTTCTGCCCTGTCGTGTTCTCTACTGGCAATTCCAGTGTGTGTGCACCAGGTTCTTCTGTGACTACAGTCAGTGACCCAAAACACTGTGTTTTGTCCAAAAGTCCAGTAGCCTTTTGCAGATATTTCATCATGAAAAATGTGAAAGTAGGAGAAGAGCAGCTTGCAGGGCAGCTGCAGGACTACTTCCCCTGCTGCGTCTGCATTTAGGTAGAGAGTTGTCCTGTTTCTGGCCCGTCAAGACGGTGTTATTCCTGGTTATCATGCTCCAGTAAAGTAAACCAGGCCTCAGCCAGTGTGCTGACTGGAAAAAAGTAGACTGCGTATTCCCCACAGCCCTCAGACTGATAGCCTAGAACGTGCCCGCCATTCCAGTTCTTAGGGTCCAATTCTCTGTTATAGCTGATGTCTACGCTGAGGTCAACTCGTTCCTCCCAGCCAGGGATGGGGCAGACGCTGCTGCTAGTTCTTAGTATCTGCAACGAGTCCTCTGTTCACCTATTACTTTATTATAACGTAGTTATTTACCCTGAATACCTTGAGATTTTTTCTTCTGTAATTCTCAGCCTAGAACTGACTTTCAGAATAACCTTTTGTTTTCCTAATTTTTTATTAATGAAGAGGTTCAATCAAATGAATCTCAAAGAGTCACCCAGGACTGTAATGTTTTTTGTGAAATGTCAAATTAACTCTTTTAGCCTTTTTCCTCTACCAGTCACTTTTACCTTGAAACGTAACTAATTGATTATTTTTGGTAGTTTCATTCCTTTTTAAGCAAAAAAGTATTAACTAGTGAAAATCTCTATAAATTATTTGCTTTCAGTGAAATCAAGCCTTTCTAAACACTTATTTGGTCTTGTTTTAATGCCCTAAAGAAAAATAGAAATCCATCAACAACTAGCCACACAAAGTGTTGGCATGTATTAGTTCTAAGAGAAACTATTTTGATCTTAAAGAATCCATGGAAATTTTAAACTGAGTTTGAAATTTTTTATTCTGCAGCACTATTGCTCATTGCAGTTGTCCCAATGCAATTGACATATTAGGGAACGATTTGAGGATAATGCAGAATTTGCATTTGCTCGTGCACCTGTGAGAAACACTAGGCGAATGCAAAAAAACTGCACTCAGCTGATGAACTGAGCTAGGTAGGAATACACAGAACACACCACTCAGAAATCTCAAATGTCTTCCAGCTACCTCAGTTCACCACGTGTGTCCTGAGCAGTGCCCATCCCTCTCTGGCATTATAGCTTCCCCTTCTACTTTAGACAACCCTCCTTCCACTGCTTCACAGTAACTCACAAGCTGCAACCTTCCAACACCCCTTCCACAAGCAAACTTCTGGTCCTTTTCAAGGTAAAATGCTGTATTTATTGTGTTTATGTGTTTCTTACCCATTTAACGTATAAAACTGTGCCACCGGTATATCCTTTCTTTTTCTTAGCCCCTGAAGAAACTTTTGAGTGTTGTGCCCCTAACTCCTTTATCCCCACAGAGCCTGTACATCCTGTGGTTTTTGTTGTGTGATTTTGAACAACATGGGGATTGTTAGTGCATATGTTGTATGAAAGCAGAGCTGATTTAAAAAAAAAAAAAAAAAGCAGCCTTTTGTCTCCCCATTTATAACTCTGACCCTGGAGAGCCTCTGAAAGTTCCACGCCAACTTTCTTCAGTCACGCCTCTGTAACAAACTGTTATTTGTGGGAAATGTGTGACTTCACATTTCCAATAGCGATCAAAAGCACTTCGGGCCCTTGCTGTGTGCCAGGCACCACGCTGAGCCTCGATAAGCAGTTTCTTTTACTTCTCCCAACAGCTATCTTTCAGGAGCTGTGGCTACACTCGCTGTACAGAGGGGGACACTGAAGCAGGGGCAGGTAGAGAAATTGCCCAGCGTCACATGGCTAATACATGGTGGAGCTGGCATTTGAACACAGGAGTTACAGTAAAATTATTTTATGGTATATTCTCTCCTTAATCTGATAAACATCTATTTTCCTTTAATGCCAGCTTAGATGGTCTCACATCTATACAGCTTTCCCTGATTCTATAAGCACGCAGTTACCTCTCTGCCCTCAGAATTGAACCAACTTTCTTCTTATTCATTTAGCAAATGTTTAGGATTCATAAACATAAGGATTACAATGCCAGGTGCCGGGGCTATAACCTTGAAGATGACTTGACCATTGTCATCAGAAACTAAGAATCTACTAGGGAAACAAGTAAATGAACAAGTTGAGACAGCTGGATAAGCGCTAGGATAGAGGTGGCAGAATGCTCTGAAGAACAAAGGAGGGGAGGCAGCATCTTAAACTAGAGGGGAGAGGATCAGAGAGGCTGTTTGAGCTAAATATTGAAGAGTAAACATTCCAGGTAGAGGGAACAGAAGAGTCAAGATCAGAGGTGTGAAACCACATGATCTTTAGGGGTACTACAATGGTTCTGTTTAGACAGAGTGAAGAATGTAGGAGAGCAGTGGGAGGGGGAGGCAGGGACCAGGCTAAAAGGGTCTCAGATACAAGGGATTTTGAATTTACCCTGAAGGTTTGGTGATGCTATTGAATAATTCAAGCACAAATGTGACACAAGAAGACTGTTCCCTCCCTCTCCTTGTCATAGCACCATGAGCATTCCTCTGTTAAAGTACATATGACAGATGCCTTCATTGTGTATACTTCTGTCATAGCATTTATCACAATTCTAATTCCCAGATGGAAGCAATATGGAGAATTGTTGGAAGGAAAGCAAAATGGAGATGAGACCAGGTTCCAAGTGAGTAGTGATTGAGAGGAGG